AAATTGTATGACGTCAATACATTCTGCTCAATTTGTGATCTTCGCCTTGTTTTAGCTTAAGCTCGAAAATTGGTTGTGTTTCTCATTTTAATTATCGTGTGCTTTTTGTTGCCAAACGTTAGGCTGCTTAAATTATTCTTATTTTCTATTTCCATTCGCTTAAGTGTTTCAATGAGAGAAGCCTGGGATTTCTTGTTACTGAACTGTTCCATATAAGGAATCTTTACCAAGTAATAAAGTAAAATAAAAATAACGAGTTAAACAAACTACCAGTGCCAGCGGTCCCGCATTGCAGAATTCTGGGGTTTTTGGTTGCCGCAGAATTGCCTCTACTAGATTTTTACTTGAAAATTCATTGCAGAATTTAAAGTATCATCTCACGAGATGGCACATCTCTTCCACTAACACGCCGGAGTCGGCCTCGCATTCACGCCCCACCTGGTTCGGGTGCCACCGGAAATAAACTGCTGAGATCCGCGCAACCGTCTTCCGGTGCATGCGGCGTGCGCACTCACTCAAAACAGGAAAGACGCAACGAAACAGGGCCAACGCGATCAGACACTTACCCGAGGGCGGATATTGCAGGAGGGCGCAGGCCTCTGGTTGGTCGCCTTGCTCGGGGCTGTCGATTGGAGAAAAAGAAGAAAAAGAAGACAGTAGGCTAAAAGGTACGAGGGGGGTAAAAACAAAAGCACCGACGGAAATAAAGTATTAGGGTAAGGATTCCCCCACTAAAGCTTCCGAAACGCGGCAACTAATAATGAACGCCTACTCAAAAGTTTTCAGTAGCACGAATTTAGGCAAATTTGTCGCGCGACGGATGTGGTACTGATTAAGGTGCAGCCTTATCCCAACATATTTGTGCGACGTCATAATACCGGCTTTTGAACAAGCATACTTCTGGCAGTCTGAAAAGAGCACACACTGTAAAATATGGCAAATTAAGCAGTATGCACTCTTCTCATTGATTTTCACTCCGCTTACAAATTAAATGGTATTTTGTAAAAAAAACATGCACAGAAGTATTCCTTTGTTACTAAAATTCAACCTTGTTCAAATCTGATACTTCAAAAGAGAGCAACTTTCGGTTGTAAAAAACGAAAATCCCATGTTGCTTGACGTTATGAGGAAGAGGTCAGACATTTCGGATAAATTTTGTTACGGATGTGCACAGTGGCGAATATTTTATAGGCGACATTAATAAATGGACACATACAATCTACCTTAAATTAGCCTTCTCACGGTCTAAAAAATCTCACAAAATAAACTTTTTAGAGCCAAAATATACCCTTTCTTCATGTATAAAAGTTGAAGGTGGTATCTGCTACCAAACGGGTATAATAAAGAATAGCTCTATTCATATTTTCTAAAACATACATTTGGATTTATAAGGGCATTGAAAATAATCTTTAGGTAGCCCTTCTTTTACAGAGTAAGCTTTTTCACGTGATCACAAAGAAGTTCGTTCAAAAGCATCCTGTACACCAGTACTTCGTTTCGGTCGGTATTTTTGATGTTCAGGAGACATCCAGCATCGTCTTCCCTCTAAAAGTATAGGATTACATTCCACAATACATAGTGAAGCATACGACCGTTATGTAGCATTGTCGGCAAAGATAAGGGAGACTGAAATAGTTATCCCCTGCTCATAAGGGGACATTACGTTAAACTAAATGTCTCCACAGGAAGGCGAAATTATTTCGAAATAACCTCTCAAGTGATTTCCTATACATCTTTATTCTCCCCCCCACCCACACCAACACCTGGTTATACACATTCCACTGGTTGATGAAAGTTCACCGATCGCTAATCGAACTCACCTGTCCCGCTCTGGCTTAGGGCAATCGGTGAGCCTTCATCAACGAGGGTCAATATCTCCCGACCTGAACCAGCAAGATAACGAGCTGGTGTGGCTCAATGGTTAGAGCGTCAGACTTCTGACCAAAATGTCACGGGTTCGAGCCTC